CTCATCATTGTCGCCCTGCGCCAATTTAGGTCCACCATTCAATTACGCTCTATTTTCTGCATTTACGACCTGCCTTTTCAGCCTTTCATTAGTTTTACGCAAGCAGGGGCGTTCCGAGCGGAAAGCTCGGTCGGGGGTCGGTGCTAAAACTTGGATGCGAATGGTCTTTGACAAAAGGGCTCTCTGCTAGAGTTCCCACGAAAAATCTGCTGCTTCCCTTCCTTCCAACCAGTTGATAAGCCAGGTACGCAAAGCAATACTGCCAAATGTGTTCCGGGAAACAAAAATCACAAGTGTAGGAGAATTATGTTTTTGTTTTTATGAGATATATCGTCAATGGCACCAACTGTCTCACATTGTTTCGTTGATAATGCATCTATTTTCCATGTCACAAGTGAGACTTAAATAAACATAGATGATCGTCACAAGTTTTAAGCAGACCGCTCCTGCTTCAGCAGTGCTTGTTAGTGTTTTGAGTTCTGTAACTCTCTGCCAGGGTGTAAAGATTATCAAAAACTTGATGATCATTTCATTTTGCCTAGCACGGGCAAAATAATGACTCCTTAAAGCACTTTTGTTTTTACAAACCTCAAACAAGCGATGCATTGTCATTTTGCGCTTTGCCTTTGGCCTCAACACTGGACAGTCACTTTGAGCACACTGCCAAGACGAAAAGTAAAAAATCTGCGCTACGCAGACTCGCCTTCCATTGACTCCATGATTATATATCTATATATATATATATAATATATATATTATATATATATATATATATATATATCAAGTATTGCAGAATTTTACGGCGCTAAGAAACTCCTGCGAAACTGAAAGATAAAAAATAAATGTGGAGAGCATTCCGCAGCCTTCTACGCGTTTAAATACACGGCTGTTGCTAGCTAGACCTAACGTCTTCAAAAGTATCGAATCAAAGTGGTAAGAGCACCAAGGAATGAGGTTTGAACCGGCCCAATCCTTATCATCGATGAGTATTGACTGGCACTGTGATTATCAGCTGTGATTTGTATATATATATATATATATATATATATATATATATATATATATATATATATATATATATATATATCAGCCGTGAGTTGTATACATATATGGTGATACAAGTGATGTAAGGATGAACCTGTCATTGCTTAAGTCAAGAACCTGTCTTTTCTTAAGTATTTGCATCCAAGTAGTCTCATTCAAGAGGTAGTCTCATCGCGAGTCATATGTCCTTTAATCGCGAAGTCGGCAAACCTGTGCGATGCATAACTTGACTGCAATGGTTTCTTCTTCGCTTTCCTTGAATATCCAGAAAACGTTCCTACAACACGTCTTGAACACCTGATGTATATGCTTCCGTGTATCGTGGACGGTCGCCACCTGGTCACATGGCTACTGGCGCGCTTTGAACACGGAGGCCATAGGTTCTAATTGAGCACGTGCTCTCACCCATGTCCTCAGTGCAACTCCGCCTAACCGCCCCGCCCCCCTCCCACGGACCCCTGGCGCCGCCGCTGCGCCCGTGCAGCCCATCTCGGCGGAGGATCAGCTGACAGCGAGGCGGCACGTTACGAGCGCCGCTCCCCGCCGCGTCCCCGCTCGTAAATCGCCAACGTCGGCGGCGCGAGCGGCGTCCGGCGCGTCCGACGCCGGTGACGCCCGGGGAGGGTGACACACGTGCCGCCCGTCCCCACGTGCTGTCGCCACGTGTCCGGCGGCTGACATCGCGTCGGCGCGCCGGAAACGCCGCTAAACGGCCGTCACATGTGTCACGCCGGCATTGGACCAATTTACCGGCGATAGAAAATTGGCGTGGGGTGGGGGTAGTGATGGCTGGATCACGTTCCACGGAAACGCAGCGGTGGAGTTTTGATTTAGTTGCGTCCAGGTCATTTTGACATGTCATCCTTTCGTTTCAGCATCATCACGTATTTAACTGCACATTTATGCAGTTATGTTATCAGGCAAGCAATGCATTCCTGCTCTAAGCACGGAGTGCAATCTGGGTTAATTCATTTTCACACAACTTGTTTGTGTTTTCAGACTACACGCGGTTAACAAAATTTGTTTTACAGTAGAGCAAACATTTCGTCCAAAATGTTAACAAAGTAACCTAGTCCTTGCATCTTGATAGCTTGAATGCGCCATTAAAAAGATTCCTCACTCGATGCATTAGATCAAACGATCAACAGACCGAACGGACTGGTAGAGCCGTACGTCTTCAGCGGCAGTTACTACAATTAGCTTACCTGAATCTGTTCAGCTGAACTTTCGGGTGGAGTCAGATGGAGTCAAATCATGATTTTTTCTTTCAATCCACATGCAAGTTTTGCAAAGTTTCACAGATGAATTATGGTTGAGTCAAGGCATGCCACCATTTACTTACAGCGTGTGGTGATGTGAGGTAACCTCGAAGGCATTGCTTAACCTTCTCACCTCTTCCTAGGATAAACCTTGCACTTGCATCGCCTCGTGCGGCGATGATAATACTATGTTGTAAAATATCCACTGGCACTGTCTGATCAGAGACCGAGACCTGATCTCAGACGGCCTTGACCTTGTATGACGCACCACCACGGGCACACAGTAGTCGACCTGACTCTGATACGTGGTGTAGGGTGATCAAGGCAAACCTTGATCACGGCTTGGTGTGAGTTTTGGCTTGACTTACCCTTAAAACTTGAAACAGCATCGACAATACTCATTGCATAACCGCTTCACGCTTGCAAAACCGCACGACAGCACCATGTCGAGCGCGGAGTTCTCAGAATATCTCCTGAAATAGCTGGGTTTTTTTTTTGTCCTTTGCATGTTAATGCTGCACGGACCTTGTACAACGATACCGAATTTCGGCGACCAAACATGGAGGCAAGTTTAACTGCAGGAGCTTGTGCAACAAGTTTTCGAATTTGGCAGAACAACTTGTATTACGCTTCGCGGAATTATTCAGAAGGCACCCCAGAAAGCGGCAGTGCCGTCACCACCTACGATGGTGAAAGTCGATAACGGCAATCTCTCCATATCTGCACCGACTGTGACATTTTGACTGTTGGTTTTGCTGTTAAGGCTATCACACAATACCGAAAGATGTACCGCACAGACGTGACGGGGTGGTACAAACAGCAAGCTGTGAGGTGTGCACAGATCTCCATTTACTCCGCACCGTATATCCTGTATGCGCTACAAATCCAGGCACAATCCGGAGATATGAATCTTGCACACACACTCACACACACACTCGCGCGCGCACTCAATTACAACCGGTTTTGAAGTAGATATGGCCCATTGTTGGCTGGCGCCGTCTTTGCTGTTTTAGAAGGAACTGTTATTTTGCAGCCGCGCACCCATGTTACATTGTATGGCTGTATGGAATGCATGTCCTGCGTTATGTTGCTAAATCCTATCATGCGCAGTGAACACACGGTTGTCGTACCGTATGGCACGACACGGCGACCCGTCGCGACGACATCATGCGACGGCAGGGGGTTGCGATTCTTGTACACCCCAAAATCACACATACCCGCGCACACACACACACACACACAACACACACACACACACACACACACACACACACACACACACACACACACACACACACACACACACACACACACACACACACACACACACACACACACACACATCACACACACACACACACACACACACACACACACACACACACACACACACACACACACACACACACACACACACACACACACACACACACCACACACACACACACACACACACACACACACACACACACACACACGCACACACACACACACACACACACACACACAACACACGCACACACACACACACACACGTATATATATACGCACACACACACACGCACACACACACACACACACACACACACACACACACACACA